TGCAACAGCACTGCTCATCTACCTTGTTAGCTAACAACATCATAGTTGATCTTCCTTAGGCAAGACTTCTCTGGCATTATGGCTTTGTGTTTTCCTTCCTTTGACTACAGAAACACAATTAAACTCAGGAAAAGTCAAGTTAATAAATCCAGAAAGAAAACACAATTTCTGTTCAATTATATTGTTTAGTATTTTTCCCCTTAATAATATACTGGATTTTAGATGCTACAGGCACTTTCAAAAAATTCCCAACAACCTCTGACACCAAGAATAAGGGCACTGCTTATCACTTGCAGTTGAACCACTGTATTTGAGTTGATAAAACATCGCTGGAAGCAAGCATCTGAGCAGGCACACAGACATCTCTGTAATGACAACCAAAAAGCTATTCCCAATGCTTAATTTTTTTTTCTTCTTTCCCTCCACGCTTCCAAACAAATTGCAAAACCATTCCTGTAGAGGAAAGGGCTAATCAAAGAAACATGAGGGAAACAGATGCTAATTGCATAGCAGGCATCTCCCAGGCTGTACATGGGGAGACACTGCCAGGGAAAGTGGTTTGCTTGCCCTCTCAGGGGGATGGCTGGGAGTAGAGAAGTGTCACCCCCCACCCTTGTGCCAGGTCATCAACACTGGGGTTGGACTGTTTGGCTTGGCAGGACTGATTTTTAGCCAGAACAGTCCAATGGTCTGGCTAACTCTACCTGCAAGTCCTACTGCTTTCATGGGAGAGGCAGTAACAAGAGGCAATAACAGCAACCCAGTCCAGACACACAAACCAGAACTAGTCCACAGTTCAAGCACAGTTAAAGCCCCTCCTAAAACTGTACTTGGGAATAGTGCACCCTGGAACAAATGAAAATAAAAATAAAAACAAGGTCCTAAACTGTGAATAAATAACAATATCATGTGTATGTCATGTATGTTGTGGATCTTCAGTCAGAATTCCCAGTTCAGGGATCTTGCCCTTATCTGTTCATGCTGTGTCACTGCAAGTTTACACCTTAGAATGTGTCCTGGCTTATCTCCTGGCTATGCTATTTTCTGCCTCTTCCATTCCTGAATAAGGCTCTTACCATTCCTTTTTTTCTTTTCTTTTTTTTTTTTTTGTATGAATCAATCAGAACCAGTTTTTCTGCCATCCTGCAGTTCTCTGCAAACCTTTTAGATTCACATTCAGAGAAACATTTCAGGTACTCCTGTCATATTTAGTGTCAGCCCTCATTTCTAAAGTCTTAGGATTGTGGGAATTTCTGCTTTTGCTTTTCCTTTAAGGTTGCTTTCTAGACCTCTTGCTTGTAAAGAAACTCCTGATGGTATCACCTGTAAGGAACAGATGGCAATTAATTTATTTTTAAATAATGTAGGCATTAAACTATTCTCAAGAAACCTACAGCTTCTGAACCATGGGAGATGATAAATCAAATTGGATACTTATCCTTCTTCCCTCAGCGAGTGCTTTTTCCCCCTCGTGAATTTCGTTCCTTTGTCTTTTCACTCAGAACCCTCTAAGGAAATCCTTGCTAACATTCAGTTCCTTTTCTTACTTATGTCAGCACAGTTAGTTACCTGTATTTTCAAAATACTTTTTTTAAAGACTATTCAAGATCCTTTATAGATAGCACATTGGACTGAAAACATCGTATTTTATGACTGCTTATGCAATTTTAATGTCTTTTTTATTACTTTAATAGTCCATCAAATAATGTACAGCCAATATTAAAGTTGACAAAAATTAAATGTCATTTTGAGTCTTCCAGGTGGATTTTAGACAGTGGATATTTCAGTTTTCCTACCATATCCCTTTGTCTGCTATAATTCCGAAGGCATTATTTCAATTTCTCTTTTTCACATTCTGTATCTCCAGGTGACTGCATTCTGTCTCCCCAGTGTTGTTTTGTACTGCCCAGGAGCAATACCTTCTGTTCCCGTTTTTTTTGCTTTGTTTGTTACTTAGCACTTTCAAAACTGTGATCATCATGTACCATTTGCATACTACTTACACTGTTTTGCAAAATCATAAAAATGACCAGCATTGAAAGAGTTTGCGAGTAGATAACCCCAAGCAAAAGGTGAAGACAACTCCCCTAATCTCCGAGATCAGCTGGAGCTGATCAGCTGTACTACCACCTTTAGGCTATACTACCACCCACCGGCCTAAAGTAGCATCAACAAAAGCAGCCATGTGGACAAGGCCTCTGCTCTGCCACTGCAGCACAGCCTGCCACAGCAGCTCAGCTCCTACAGGGATGTGAATCCCAGCCGTTTAAAACTCTGGATACCTGAAGGATTTAGCTGCAGTGGCTAGAAAGATTACTGACCTCCATTATGATCCTCTTTGACCATAGATATATCTGAAAGGGATTTTGGCTTTTCAAGGCAGGGCTTCGGTCTTGGTACATAGGATTTTCTTGGTAGCTGGTCCAAGGCTAGATTTCTTTTCTTTTCTTTGAAACTGAGGGAGTTTAAAAATGTCATCACTTAAAAAACGTTTTCTATTCTTTTTTTTTTTTTTAAGGGAATCTTAAAATATTTACCAACTTCAAATATAAAGTTCTTTTCATAGATGAAGACGCAAGCTCTTCTTTCTCATTCTGGAAGGTCTTTCACTCAGGATCACTCTCTACAGCTTATGAGCTTAGTATCTGGAAACAGTTCCTGTGCAGGACAGAGTCCAAATTAAGTTTGCTACTAATTTCTTAGTAGTGCAGGTAAAACTCCTTAACTTTGATAGTTATTGTCAGCAAAAGTAATGAAATGCCACAGGTTTTGATGTCAATGTAATCTAGTGCATCTTTAAACAATTTATTATATTTTTTGGTCAGATAAATCATAAAATCTGTTTCATTTCCATAATGTGCATTCATCTGTAATTTCTTTGCGCTTTATTGCAGCAGTGCTCAAGTGGAACAAAATATGTCGGTCCAAAAATAATTAAATACGAATATCAATCTTTATGTGCCTGCTTCAGCCATAGTTTATCATATAACTAAATATTTATATAAGACAGATGACGTTGATTTTTGTCCAGGAGCTATGAAAAATGTAGACTTCTGACATTCAGTCCAATCTGCACAGCTTGTGAATAGAGCTTCTGCTACATATTTACATATATCGTAGAGTAAATGATGTATGTATCTTTTAGAAAGCTGCAGCATTAGTTTAAATTAGCATTAGGCTAATGCTAAGTAACATTAGCCTAAAATGTATGTAACTATAAGGATATAAAAACTTTTACCATTACTTCTGCTAGGACTGCTTTAAAATGTTTGCTTCATGCCATAGAAGAAAAGTAAGATTTGTGTTGATTTTAATAATTTGATATTAAACATTAGCTCATTTCATATGCTTGATAACCAACATTTAGCAGCTCAGCACAGTAATCAAATCCTGCTTCACATCAATTCGAGCTGAAGACCTCTTCATGTTAAAAGTCAGTAATAAAGCCCTACAGTTCCTGGCTTGCATCTTGGAACTCAAGCAAAAGGAGAAAGACAAACATTGTGCAATGAAAGACACAATTATGGATTTCTGGGTCTATGAATATTTGTATCAGTGGATTTTGAGATTTAGATTTTATTTACAGCTGGCAGAAACAGTAAATATTGAGCCTAATTCACAATATAGTTACTGGTTCTACACTAATATAAAGTAACTACAGCAGTCAGAACAAAGGAATATTCACAGTCTTTCTTTATGCAGTGTGAACACTTGGGATTTTTTTGTGTAATTCCTGCTTGTGAGACTGATCATGAATAAGGAGACAGCCAAGGTGGTACAAACTCAACAGCAGAGTGCATGTGTGCATTTTGTCAGTGTTATGAGGATGCCTTAATTTTACAACTTTTCTAGACTATAGCTCACAGGTGAATTGTGACCTTGCTATTCTGTATTTTAAAAAGCCACACTTTATTTATTGTCTGTAGTTTTATAGTATTTTCTTAAGGAATCTTCCATGTCCATTATTTTCAGTAATAAAAAATATTTTGGACCATTTCCACACAGAACTATACTAACTACAGGAACTGCACGATTTTTGTTTGTGGTGTGCTTTGAAGATACAGCCCTTTTTTTTTTTTTCATACAGCTGTTTAACATAAACTCCCACTTCATAATACATGATTTTTTTCTCTCATTAACATGAACAAAATTGTAAGACAAATACTCAGCTGTATAAACTTACTGAAAACTTTATTATTTAAAATATTATCTGTTTAAATGCAACTCCATTTTGGCTCACCTTAGCAGAGGACAAAGCTTTTATTTGAGCAGTTGATTCATTTAATTAGAAAGCTGTTCTAAAGTTATCTTTTTTTTTTCCATGCCAGCATTAGTGCACTTGAGAGTATTTGACTGTAGCTTTCTGTTGCTATACTGAGTTAGAGGTATATAATTTCATTAGATCTCACTGAGGGATAAACCTTCAAGCATTATTTATGCATAAACTGAAAGGTACCATACCTTTTAGAAATGCAATTGTTGCTGCAGTGAAACATCTAAATAGTGAATTATTTATGTAAGTGAGGAGTATGGGAGGTGGAAGAGGAGCCCGTCTTCAATGTCATGCCTGTTCCTTTCTGCATGTTTACATACAATTATTTTTCTAGACTCTTTATGTTAAAATTCAGATAAGTTTTACATCAGGACTGCTTTTGGAGACTACTGATTCTGACTTCATGATCTTTGTTTTCATTTTTACTCAAGGTTGTTTCAGATACTGCTTACAACCCAGTCCCTTCTGCTGTTTGGAGACAAGAACATAAGCTTTTCAAAGCCTTATCTATTAATATATAATCCTTGCTCTGCAAATCCATACCCTTTTCTCTGCAGACATACTGTTTCCCTAAAGCATTCCTTTATTCCTCCAAAATCTGAATTTTGGGTATTTCTAGTGACAATTTATGATTAACACCTGCTAGGTATTATATGAGGCTGTATGCAAAAAGGTTCTCAGAAAGAAAGTCCAATACTGTCCGGTGAAATGCAAGACCACAACAGGGTTTAGATAGCTATTAGTTTATTGACAATATAAATTGCAATCAGCAAGTCCCAGTAACCACATGGAGAGTTGTGAGGGAAAAGAAAACAGTCTGGTGAGGTGCCTGACTAAGGCTCAGTCAGGCACATCCCTGCCTCAAGTTTTCAGCATGTTTGTTTTATATGTATCTATAGACATAGATGTATCTACCTCATGTCCACCTGGCTACACATCAAACAATACAATGATGCACTAATTAGAGGCTTGGTCACTGTGATCTGAGGATGGTCAGTGGGAGCAGGATGTTTGCTTTGTGAACTGGGACTAGGTCATGTGGATCAAGAGTTGGACTTAATGATCTCGGAGGTCCTTTCCAACCCAGCTGATCCTACGATTCTATGATCCAGTCATGTCCCTGATGAGCTTCCCCTTCCTCCCCTTGCAACTAGTATACCCCAATGTGGTACATTTCTCTGTACAAACTGCAGGGACCAGGCCTCAAACCTTGGAGTAGATGGTTTTATGCATAGTTTTTCTTTCACCTCCATCATTACATTAAGAAAAAAACCCAAAATAACAACCATCCTTGTGGTATAGCTATTTACACTTGCAGCAGCACAAACATTTACGTGTTAAAGAATTATATATAAAAGTATGTTTCCTAATATTTTCCCATAAATAAAAAATTAATGGTGAAGTATTCTTAAATTCTCTCCCCAAAATAATCTGAAAATTTATATGGTGTTTTAGGAAGATTTTTGAAATAATGAACACAAACAAAGATTACCTGAAAATACTGTCTGAAGGAAGACAATGAGAACGAGAATGGCAATATGGCATCAACAGTGCCCAGAAATGCCACTGTTTTGAGGTTAGCATTTCTTTTGTTCACTTGGCTGTCTCTATTCTGGCAGATTCATATCAATCCCAAAGCAAAAATCATCAATAAGGTGCTTCATTAAGACATGGAAAATAGTCTTCAGTCTTGAAGAGGACTGGAGGTTCATAGAGCGTCTGTTGTTGTCGCGAGGAAGACGATTTCTGAAAATCAGACAGGTTTATTTTTTGCCTTTTTAAAAAAGTATTTTAAAACAAAGCCTACAGAGCTAAAATGCAAAACAACAGAAGTTCTTAAGGTGTATCTCCTTAATCAAGTGAATTCTTAACCACAGCTCAGATGAGTCTGGCATATTCTTAATGTTATTGAAGAAATGCAGGTTTTAATGCTTGCCATTCCAGCACCTAAACAGACTCAGTCCTGGAAGGTGTATGATATGCCAGTGTTGCAGGAGCCAAACTGTACCATTCAGCTGATGGCATAGTTGTTGAAATCCTCATCCTCTCAAAGCCAAATACCTTTACCTTTTCTGCTCCAACCTTCGAGTTCTCCGCAGCCGCTTCTTTTGAGTTAACCCTAGGCCTATGTTCTCATTTAGTTAGTTAAAAAAGTCTTCATATAGAAACACACCTAGTAGATGTTGCTGTCAAGAAGGCTGCTGCTCCTGTTGAGCTTCTTCATATGACATACAGCTAAAAATAATCTGGTAGTGGACTGGTAAAGAGCTGCTACACTGTTTTTCAGGAAAAGTGTACATGTTTCTTTTAAATATTAACCGTACATTGTTTTGCTATACCAAATGGCTCATTTAAGGAGACAAGGACCACTACTCATTACTGCATCAGTCTTGCTGCGTATAAATAATGCTGTAACACAACACAGACCCAGTGTATGTTTTCAATAAATGGCCTTAAATAGAATGCTTGAAATCAAGATTTGTTAGAATCTTCACCAACAATAAAGTTAAAAGCATACCAAATATTATTAGCATACTTGGAGTTTGGAATGCTTTTGCAATATCAAGATGATGATATAAATAAGCATACCTACAAAACAGCAAAGTGGAATATTCAGTTGAACTGTATACTTGTACTCCATATGAAATAAGTACATAAACTCCTGTTATATACAAAATTGCTGATTTATTAAATTATATGTTGTTAACTTTACAATAATATTAATTTCTCTAAGTTTGTTTTGGCATTCAAGTTGTGATGAAATTAAAAAATATAAACAAAGATCTGATCTATAAATAGTAGATATAATCAGTGTTCTCAACATCACAAATTTTTCCAAATGCAAAAGCAACCTCTGAAATCAAAGTTCTGATTTTTAGAATCATCTCCTATCCTGTACTGTCCTATGAGAAAACACCTTGCAAGAAAGGGAAACTAAGGGCACAGGTCTTCTGCAATCCACTGATTTAAGAGGTGTTATATTTGCCTATGTGCAAGAAGGGGATAATTTCAATCCTGTGAGGAAATTCATAGACAGGCACAGTACCCACAGTTGCCTAAGCACACATTTATGATTAGTTATTTTTGCAGCTGCTTAGCAAACTTTTTTATCTTTTCAGAGTCTACATCCTTAGTGACACCAGAAGTCTTATAGTACTGTACTTTACACTGACTGGTATTCACAAGGGAAGAACTTTGGGCAAAATCTGAAAGTGAGATTACAAATACACAGTTTGAGAAATACAAAATACATCCTTTTTATAAAGAAACAGATACATTTAAAGGGAAAGGGGGGGGACCTTGACTAAATTAAAACTGCACCTGGAAAATACAAACTACAGCTACAATGAAAATCATGACATGAGAAAAGCCTTCTTTTCCAAACCATAAGGAGAAATCTCTATAGGCATTTTCATTCAGATATGCTTGTGTTTACTAGTGAAAGTAGGTATTTTACTATGCAATATCCAGTAGCACTGCAGAACAGTAACCTGCCTTTTAGCTAATCAATTAATGCCAGTAAGTTCTGAGTGTTCTTTTACTGCTATCCATACTCAAACTAAGAAACCACTGGACATGACAGGTTCAGCTTGCTGACACTTCTTAAGAGTTTTCTCGTTATTAATTGTGAAAAAACAACTAAGCTAATGAAGTGTTCCCATGCAACACTGAAAAAGAAGGCACTTTCTTAGAACTACCAAACTTTTCAACTGAAGATTATATTTCCTTGCTTGATAACTGCTTTTAGGAAAAACAAAAAAACAAACGGAAAATACTGTTGAATATTCTTGAAGGCCACTTATGTAGTTGTTTGGTTTTGTAACTGGCCTATAAATAGCAGCTTTGTGTTGGGTTTTTTTTTTTGAAAAGAAAAAAATGACAGCACTCTAAACTTAAACATCAAGGAAAATGAAGGAATGAGATGAGAAATTAACTAACTATCCTTTAACAGTCTTGCCTGTACAGGCTCTTCCTACTTGCTTTGCATATCATCAGAGATCAGGGGTGCTTCAGTATAAAGGCTTGTGCATTACGTGCTTGTTTGTGCCCTTCACGTTCATTTCTTTGTGTCTCAGACTTGTTTTGCTAAGTTACACAAATCCTTGTAAGGAATTGTGATTTTTAAGTTTGGCTGGGGTTTTTTTCTTTTAATTAAGCCTGAAAACTTTGTAAAAATCCTAATGAAGTGCATAAAAGTTAAATTCAGATGCATATGTAACAAACTTACTATTAATTTAATAATCTACTTTAGTCAGTAGAGCAACTAAGCTGGTCATGTGGTAACTAAAGTTTACTTACATTAAGGAAGGATGGTATGCTGATTGTGTGCAAGATCTTCTTGAATGTGCTTGGAAAAGCTCCAAGGTCTGTTTCTGCCTTTATGACCCGCTCTTCCAGTCCAGCTACGCTATTTCCAATCATTTTCACAAAAGCCTAGTGTGAAAGAAAACCAACAGAAATAGGGCTTTTTCACTAACAAAACAGGATTATGTATTGCACAACAGTGGTGAACGATCCATTACTTAAATGAGGAGTCAAGAACTTCATGCTCTCTTCCACCTACAAGTCCATTTTATTGCTAAAAATTACTTGAAACACTTAAAAGGCTGAACACCAGGTTAAATCTAATAAAACAATCAGTCTTTCTATTTACCTGTCAAGTAACTCATTTGAACTTCTTAGAATCTAGACTTACTACTGCTAAAAGAAAGACCAAGGATCTGTATCACAATTTTGAAGCTTTATCAGAAATCAATAGACCTCTCATTCTATTTGTCTCTGAGGACAGTAACTTTGAAAGACTATAAAAACTGCCTTGCTTTGAGCAGTCAATAAACAAAAATCCTTTTTTCTTTAAATAGATGTTTTAAAAAAAGATGTTAAAAAAAGATCCAAAAATGTTTAGAATGCTTACAGTGTCCAGAAATTATTAATAAATTGTGTTCTCGTTATTAACCCTGAAGTATTGAACCCAAATTGGACACGGAGAACAAAACTAGCCTGAGCCCACTCCACGTGCATGCATGAACACACACACAGACATGGCACATCATTGATTCTCTCCCCCCCCTTCTGTTAGGAAACAGAATGCATCTAGAGATATCAAATACCTACCTCTAGTTTGTCAATCTTCCTATATATCTGCCTCATTTCTATTGCTTTTGTGTATATTTGAGGTATACTTTCATTGACAACTTGAGAGGAATCACTCCGAATCTAAAGACAATTCAAAGAAATAATACAAAAATCAATGAATAAAACAAAGTGTTTAATAGATTTCATTCTGGAAACTAGAACTGTGCTCCAATCAACAGATTAAAATTCAGAGTTTAAAACCACCAGATTAAAATTAGTACAGAAATACTAGATTAAAACCAAAACACTAGCTTTTTTGTATAATTTCGAAGTAATTTTGAAGAAAATTTATTTTGCATAGGCTAATATTTACCTTTATAATTATATTAAAAGTAGGCTACTACATCTCCTTAGAACTGAGATGGAACATTTTCCAAGACATACTAAAGAACTAGACACATTAAACTAAAATTTTTACTTAAATTCTACTACTCGTACTTTTCCTCAGGTTTGTTAAAAAAGTCAGGACACAAAGTCTTGGTTTACTGCTATTAAAATAAAAAAATCCTAGGATGAAGTTCCCCTTATAGTTGTGCAGAACTACATGTGCTACGCTTTAAAAGACAGCCTGTATACCAGTGTCAGCTTATAGGAACTTTACATTCAGTTCCCCCATCTAACCCAATGCAAAAGTGAAAACAAAGCTGCCTTTCTGATAAGAGGGTCCCCCCTCTAGCTTTGGAGGTTTGGCAACTCGGATTAGATACTTTGATTATAAAACCCACGGAGCATACCTTTATGTATTTTAAAGGAGAAGCAGAACATCATATTGTTCTTTCAAACCTGTCATTTCACCATTCAAAATGGGATTCTCTGTAGGTACATGGATAAGTATCCAAATAAAGCTATGTAAATATGCAGCTAGGAAAAAATTCTTCACTGAGAGGACTGTCAAGCACTGGAACAGGCTGCCCAGGGAACTGGTTGGTGGAGCCATCATCTCTGGAGGTATTTAAAAGATGTGTAGATGTGATGCTTAGGGGCATGGTTTAATGGTGGACTTGGCAGTGCTAGGTCAGCAGTTGGCCTCTATCTTAGAGGTCTTTTCCAACCTAAACAATTATATGATTGTATGACCACAAAGCTATATAGCCGTATTTTGCTCTGACATGAAATTTGGCAGTTTTATCCACAAGCTGTCTAATTACCAAATGTGTTTTCATACTGAACCTACCTAGACAGGAGGCTTCTTCCTCTCCATGTCTTATTTACACAAGCACTAATTAAAAACGCAACTACATGCAAGTTACACATACCATGTCCAGCATTCCCACGAATTCATCCACTCTGGTCAGTAAGTCTTCTAGACTCTTGTCTAAGCTTTCTATCTGCAAAACAGAAATCCTTTAAAGGTACTTGAAAACACGAAAACCGGATTCTCAGAAATAACACCACCGAGTACAGACATCGTCCACATTAAAACGAGTCTCACAGAAACCCCGCAGCTTTCCCCTCCTTGTCTTTGTTGAGCACAAGGGACTCGACACACCGGTACGTCCTGTCCTGCACATCACCACAGCGGGAGCGCGCCCAGCTCCAGAGGGCTGCGCTCCCAGGATACCCCCTCCCTTCCCGGCGCCGGGCCGCCTACCTGTCCCTGTCCCCAGGGAGCTGGGCAGGACCCCCCCGAGGCGGCCCGGCCCCTCGCCCACCTGCTCGCTGAAGAGGCTGCCGGTCGGCCGAGCAGGTACGCCGGAGTAGGCGGCGCGGTGGCGCTCAGCGACGACCTCACGAGGCGTCCTCGTCTCTCGGCTTCCCGAGGCGGAGGCCGCTGCTGTGGCTCTGGGACACGTTTTCCCGCTGTCCGCGCCGGGGCAAGGCCGCCCCTAGCAGGTTCGGATCAACCCGCGTCGCCCACTCCGCCAAAGCGCGCCGCCATCCCACCCGCTCCCGCCGGGGATGGGCCCGTCGCGCCGCTCGACATGACCGGGGCGGGCCGCGCAGCGCGCTCACCGGCGGCGGAGCCGCCTTCCCAACCCCGGCCCCCGCGGCCCCGGGAGACCGGGAAGACGACGCGCTCCGGGACTGAAGTTCACGGATCGCCTGTCCGGGCACGGAGGTCGCGCCTGGCTGTTGGAAAAGCTCAGGCCCTGCTGCCCCCGCCGCCTCTCGGAAGCGTTGGGACGGAAACGTGGCTCCCTCTCCGGGAGCGCTTATGGAGGATTTGCCCCTTAAGGAGGGCTGGCGCGCCTCTGTTCCCTCAGCCGCCCACCTTTACAGCCCAGCTGGGCAATTTAATCCCACAGCCGAAGGGGTCCCGGTCTGTGAAGCCCGAACAAGTCAGACGCGTTTCCATGCAGATTGCTCTGACAACGGCCTGAGGTGGGAAGGGAGCTCGCTGTGAGAGGATAATTGGGATAACACAGATTCAGGCATCAGTATGGGGCATTCAAAAGAGAAGCTGCTTTTGCCACCCCCCACCCCTCCTCACCCCAAAACGTTGCACAAAATGTCTGCAAGCCTTAAAAGTTACTTCACAAAGTGCTGGCTCTAAAGCTGACACATCAATACTTGGGTGTTCTCAGTTTGTAATTCATCTTGGGTACATGCGTGTGAAACACAAGTTACGCTTCCTATCCCCTGCGATGAGTAGACTGTACTGCACGGTTTCTTTGGACAGTGACATCCAGAAGGCTCCAGGCAAAGGAGTGCAGTGCAGCAGCAGATCACTAAGCCAGAGATACCCTAGGCTTTTTCTGAGGAGTCAGAATTAACCCTCAAAACCCTGAGGTTTGCAGCCAGCCCTGCTATGAGAGGGTTCCCAAGGAAATCAGTGTAACAGTACCCTTTAGTAAAAGTAGTACTGGGAAAACTGCTATGAGTGGGTTCCCAAGGAAATCAGTGTAGCAGTACTCTTTAGTAAAAGCAGTACTGGGAAAAAAACATTATGGAAAGAAACTCAGTATCACTGAGATCAAGCAGCGGGATCAAAGTCTGTACTAATACAGAGAAAATCATTACTAAAATGGTTACATAGTTGAAGAGCCATCCAACCCAGATACCTTGTTTCCACAGGGATGGGATATACTTCCACATAAAAGCTTGAGCACAGGGAAAGAATATAGCTTAGAAGTAAGACAGTGCACATTTTATTGCAGATAGGTCACATTGTCATCAGTTAAATAAGGAAAAACGAGTAACTTCAGCCAGACAAATCACTTATTCATAAAAGTAGTCTTATTTAAGGTGTAACAAAATTTTCCTGATAAGATGGTCTGATTGACTGAAGCATATCCAGCTATTCTTTTTTTTTTTACTGCACCAATAATCAGATTTTTTAAAAAAATGAAAACCTTTGGTAAAGTACAAACACAGTTTTAAGACGAACAGGATCAATGATCTATTCTTACTGTGCCAGTAAAAATAAGTACAGCTCTATAGCTGCTGTGATACCTAGAAAAAATTTAATTAGAGTAAGTGAAAGAATTTTAAAATAAACTTTTAAAGCAAATCTAAAAGAAATAAACTAAGTTCAATGTCCCAAAGATATTTAACAATGAGCAGAAGACTGGTTGTTCCACAGGTATTCTAAATTAGCAACAATGAATTAGTCCGCACAACCTTTTTCCAGCCATTACAGATTCCAAAATGGAATGTAATTTCTTCAAACCAAGACTTCTGAATTTTCATATCCATACAATATTTAAGAAATGTCTATTCCACCATATAAAAAAAGCTTTAATGTACTACAAAGTTAAAAACAAAGAGCAAATGACACAAGCTAAAAATAGAAAAATACATCGTAAAACATTTATATTTTGTTTCTTACACTGATTGAGATATAACAAAATATTTTGGATTAAATCACTTTCTTAGACTCACGGCATTTTCAGAAGCAGACAGGTTGTGACTCAACAGTCACTGGTCACCCAACAGCCAGCACCCAGTAAAGGTGTCTGACCATCGCAAACATCCACTATATTTTAAGTTTCTAGAAATCCTGTGTAAATGTTAAGCTTTATTACTATAAGAGTCCAAAAATAACAGTTAGGTTTGAGAGCCAGTCAGCATCCCCCTCCAGCTCTGCATGGCAATCAGCCAACCTTTTGTAAGGAAAGACCTTGTGGATTTAGGTGGCCCCAAAGGTACAGGGATTGTGTCAGCTCTGAGGTGAAGGGGACAGTCCTAGCACACTCTTCCACTTCTGCTGCTTTCTTGCTTGCATCTTTAAAAATTCACGTGAACCATGATTTTGAGGAAAAAAAAAAAAAAAGAGAGAGATGATGGGGAAAAAACCAAGAGGTATTAGCTAATAAATATCGGAAAAGAATACACCACCACACAGCGGCGCTGACCCCGCCGTGTCGGTGCCTCCCCGCGTTCCCAGCGCTGGCCCGCAGGTGGCGACCGTGCCCCAGCAGTCACGGCTACATCCTACACACGGCCGCCTCGGGCCTCTAAAACCACTTATTTTTATATATATAGAATCTACAGTTTCCTTTGGAAAATGTAATTGCAGCATCTCCCAAACGTTGTTACCACCAGAGTAGGAAACAGCTACTTTTATGTAGAGCTCGTCTGGATTAGACATAAGGCTGAAAATATGGTGTAAACAAGTTAGCAGAAGGGCTGTGTGTAACAGTAGAAGATGGGATGGCTGTTAAGAAGCGCCCCCTTTAAGCTAGTATTAGAAGAAAACCAGGTTCCACTTCAAATGGACATGTCTGTTACTATTAAAATCTAATTCATATACATGCACGTATTAATACATCCACCCATGTATTCAAACCCAAGTATGTAGCATTGCCATGGGTAGCCTGTAAGACTGCTTAGATTTATAACAACTAAAACAAATTTGTGTTCTCACTTCAGGGCTGGGATATGAACCAGATTTTGCACTCTGGCTTTCTCCCGACAAATTTTGCAGTGCATGACAGCTTTATGTCTAACTCCAGATGCCACGTTTCCTAGAAAGCAACAATTTTCTGCACCCGTGAGGTCTATGAGAATATCAGCTCCCTGTTTTGTGCATAACATGTTGCACGAGTTAATTGTCCCAATTGGCACTTAAGACTGTAAGGAGAATTGCAGAAGTTGCTACTAAAGCGTAATGACTGTTCCATCCTCCTCGATACCTCCTCTGGGGATAACCAGACTGTGTCGGGGATCAGTTTTTAAGGAACTGAGTAATTTGTGGATGTTGCCATTGCTTTCTCGGCCAGAGTTGTTGTTGAGCACCAGGTCCCTTTGAAGTCTGTGGCTAAGGCTGCTGCCATTGATTCGAGAGAGGCTACTGGAAGTAAGGCTGTGCAGTTTAGGAATGTGCTGTGGCTCCAGACCACCCTCAATGACAATGTCAGCCTCTTCATCACTCTCCATTTCATCAGGGTGGAAGTTCTGCAGCACATGGGATGTAGGCAAACTGTGGTGACTCGCAGTGCTGTCTGTAGACTGGCCAGAGCTACCAGACATCCTACTGCTCCGAATAATATTGTTCCTCTGGTTTGCTGGCTTGACTGTGATAATAAGATTATGGCTGTTGGCAATCATCATGTCTGTGACTTGGTCAAGAGTCTTTCCTGCTACTTCAATGCCATTAACTTCCAGGACTTCATCATTCACAGCCAGCAAGCCTGTGCTCTCTGCTAAGCCACCAGGAACCATACGAGAGATGAAGATACCGGGTACTTTTTCCAGTCCATGAGGAGTAACTCTTACGCTGGTGCCATCACGAATGTAAAATCCTAAGGGTTTCTCACACCCGTGTCGATACAGCCTCACTCTCCTGTGCGTTTCAGGAAGAATGTCCACATCAATTATGGAAGACACTGGTCTAAAATCATGAGGCATGCTGATGTTAATGTGAGGACGCCGTCGGAGGTTGTCATTGCGGAGTGTCACCAGAGCCTTCTTCTTCCTTGATAGCGTGTTGGTCCCAAAATTGCTGTAGTCCACTTCATCTGAAAGAGAAGCAGTACCGATGTATATCAATCAAACAGAATAATTCAATCTGCAGGGCATTTTACACTTAAATTTTGTTCAGTGAAGGCACACTCTTAATAATATGGAAAAAAACCAAATTAATTCTCCCACTTATTCTAACTTTTGTTTCACTTTATGTCCATCAGCACAACATTCAGAATGAATGAGTTGTTTATAATTACTACCCACACTTCCATGTTTTGGGGAAAAAAAAACCCTTCTTTTTCTGAACTCCTATTTCAGCTATGTAGTATGCAATTACTTGCTGCAGGCCTGATATACCATCTTGGACATGAGACTGTATTTTCAGAGTTGGATTCTAATTTTACACATACATCTCAAGTGGCCAAGGAGCGTATTCCTAACCTGAAAGTCCGAATTAGGGTGCATTTTAATACTCAATACATAGCCTTAACTGATAGCAGGCCTTAGGTACAAACATGATAGCAGAGTGCAAGAGAGTAGTTGGATACGTTTTTTGCCTAGCCTTTGTTAGTTAATATGCATCTCTTGGTACATCACTTTTCTCTTTGGAATATTTTACTTCATTTCAGCTGAACTTGACAGCAATAAAAAGTGTTAGAAGTGCCAGATAACAAAAGGTTCTGTGTAAGCAAGCAGCCTGGCAGAAAGAGATGCAGGGAGAAACTGCTCTGCTGCCTAGTCCGTATGCTAAACATCATAGAATGGACATGGACTCCTGCCCTTGAGAGGAAGATCCATGGGAAAGCTGCCTTTCTAAGGTCTTCAGTTTAAGGAAATGTTTAAATATTTTAGTCTCTGTAGCACTTATTTCAAGTGCATTGCAAAGTAATCACTTTTAAATTATCCAAGTAAAAGAAGTTATTCCATATAAGAAGCTCATGTTGTGCTTTGCATAAAAAACACTTAAGACATGAAGTTGTTAGTGTACAAATTGCGTCACTGCATTTCCCATTAAAAATACTGTGCATAGTTTAAACATGAAACATGCACTAGCTGGAAAATTATTTCACGGGGAGT